ACTGCCACAAGAGATAATCATCACTATAATGATGAAAGGGTCAATTTACCAGGAAGCTGTGAATTGTAAATACATAGGCACCTAAGAGAGCACCCAAATATATGAAGCAAACAGCAACAGACTGAAGGGAGAAACAGACACTAACACACTAAGAGGAGATTCCAATACCCTACTTTCAATAATGGATGGAGCAAACAGACATAAAATCAATAAGGAAACAAAATAACTGAACAACACTATAGACCAACTGGATCTAAGAGACATATCAAAAACACTCTACCCAAACAATAGCACAACCCACATTCTTCAAGCACAAATGGAACTGTCTCCAGGACAGATCAAATGTTAGGCCACAAAACAAATCTTAATAAATTTAAGAATATTGATATCATACCAAGTATCTTTTCTGGTTTCACTGAAATAGCTCTAACTGCATACATTAAAAAAGAAGAAAGATTGCAATCAACAACCTAACTTTATACCACAAGGAGCAAGAAAAAAGAAAAACAAACTAAACCCAAAGTTAGCAGGAGAGAAATAAAAAAATGAGAACAGAAATAACACAAATACAAAAAACAATAGAAAAAAATCGGCAAAACTAATTTCCAAACTATAAAGAACACAAACAACTCAACAACAAAAAAACAAACAACTCAATCAAAAACTGGGCAGAGGATATGAAGAGACATTGTTCCAAAAGAGATATACAGATAGCCAATAGGAACATGAAAAGATGTTCAACATCATTAATCATCAGGGAAAGGCAAATCAAAACTACAATGAGATATCACCTTACACCCGTTAGAATGGCTATAACTATCAAGACAAAAAATAACAAATGTTGGAGAGGATGTGGAGGAAAGGGAACGCTCATACACTGCTGATGGGAATACAAACTGATGCAGCCACTATGGAAAACAGTATGGAGATTTCTCAAAAAATTAAAAATAGAAATACCATATGACCCAGCTATCCCACTACTAGGTATTTACCCAAAGAACTTGAAATCAACAATTCAAAGAGACTTATGCACTGCTATGTTCACTGCAGCATTATTGACTATAGCCAAGAAGTGGAAGCAACCCAAGTGCCCATCACTTGAGGAGTGGATAAAGATGTTGGTATACATATACAATGGAATACTACTCAGCCATTCAAAAAGACAAAATCATCCCATTTGCAACAACATGGATGGATCTTGAGAGTATTATGTTAAGCAAAATAAGCCAGACAAAGACAAACACTGTATGATTTCATTCATATGAGGAAGATAAACACATGGACAAAGAGAACACATTAGTGGTTACCAGAGGGGAAGGGCGTTAGGGAAGTGGGCATAAGGGGTAAAGGGGCACATATATATGGGGACTGACAAATAATAGCGTACAACTGAAATTTCACATTGTTATAAACTATTATGACCTCAATAAAAAAAAAATCAGCAAAACTAAAAGTTGGATTTTTGAAAAAAATCAATAAATTGACAGACTCTTAGCCAAGAAAAACAGAAAGACTCAAATAACAAAAATCAGAAATGAAAGTTGTTACAACTGACACCACAGAAATAAAAGGGATTATAAGAGACTACTACGAACAATTATACTCCAACAAATTGGATAACCTAGAACAAATGAATAAATTCCTAAAAACATACAACCTCGTAAAGTGAATCATGAAAAAATTAAAAATTTGAAGAGATCTATAACTAGTAAGAAGACTGAATCAGTAATCCAAAACCTCCCAACAAAAAAAACCCCAGGACCAGATGTTTTCACTCACCAGTGAAACATTCTACCAAACATTTAAAGAAGAATTAACACCAATTCATCTTAAACTCTTCCAAACGTATGTTGTCATTCCTCTTTGATGTATACATATGAGTGGGATGGATCCTATGGTAACTCAATGTTTAAGCTTTAGAGGAACTGCCAGACTGTTTTCCAAAGGGACTGCACCATTTTACATTCCCCTTAGCAATGTAGGAGGGTTCCAATTTCCCTATATTCTTGCCAATACACGTTTGCTGTCATTTTGATCACAGCCTTGCTACTGGGTGTTAAGTGGCATCTCATTGTTGTTGATTTGAGTAACATTTTTATGCTGTAAACAATGGATATTCAACACATATTTACTAAACTAATGTGTGAATAGGATCACAAGTATTTATGTGTCCCATATCTTGCTAAGAGAGATACAATATGGAATATAATACAGTCTCTGGATGTGAGAAACTGAAAAAACAAAATGAAAATAAATCTGTTAGAGAAAAAAATGACTATGTAATTAAGTATTAGTTGTGCTGCATAGGCATTAAGTGGTTTAAAACTTCAGAAGAAAGTAGTCAGGTAAAACTTGACACGAGATATGATAAGATCAGGGAAGAAATTCAGACAGCGTGAAATATACGAGCTTAAGTGACACTGAACTTCCATCGTGAACACAGTGATCCAAGGCAAAGAATAAGGACTAATAAGAGACGCGTTTGGAGAAATGGTCTATCTTATCAAGAAGCAGCAGCATTTGTAGCAAAGAGAGCCAACGACAGATTAAAAAAGGAATTTTGCTCATATTTCACCACTTAATTCTGCAAAACAGGCTTTTTCCTCATCTGTAAAATGATAATATCACCTTCCCTACAAGACGGCATGAGATTTAAATAAAGCAAAATATGCAAAATGTAAAAAAAAAAAAAAAAAGCCTAGAAATTCTTGGAGATACAGGAGATGTACCAATTAAAAGTCTTAAAAATAATCAGATTTAATGCCACAGGGAAAAAGTGAGTTTCTGAAGGTGTTTAGAGAGATGTTAAGATAATAAAAGTGGTATTTAATGAATGAGAAAGGACTAGAGAGGAAGCACTGCTGTTAAAAAGAAAGAGCTACAGGGATGTTGCAGTCACTAAAATTTGAAGCAACAACAGCCTTACCCAGGACAGTGAGAAGCAGAAGACAGAACAGTTGTGGCTTAGAAGGAAAAAGCAACAAAATTTTGTGGCAGAAGTGGCTCTTAAGGATAAAAGAAAAAATCTGTCAAAGGTAAGCCCAAGTCAAAGGATGAAAAGGGATGTTACAAACAGGGACAGAAAAGCTGAGATAAGAAGACAGTTTTAGGAGGAAAACGTAAGTTCAATTTTGACATAGTGGCATAGAAATGACAGTTGAAAAAAAAGTAAAAATGCCCAGTAGGCAAATAAGAAAACAATCAAGAGCAACGGTTTTCGACCCTAGATCTTTTTCAACCTATGAAGCCTTCTAAAAATAGAGATGCCCATTTCCACCTCCCAAATCTTGTAGTAATGTGTCTACTTAGCAGAAGGTAGGTCACCTCAGAAATCCTGGCTGCAGAGAACTCTTAGAAAAGCAGCCTTAAGTTTTTCAACCTTTAAAACATAGAAACATATATGAGAAATACGTGTAAGTGGTGTTTAGTGAACTAATGTACTACACTGGCCTTTATATCTCTACTCACGCAGACTTCAAGAGCATGGCTCCTACCACAATAAGGCGTCTGAGTTTCTGACTCCAATTTCAACAATAGTTGTTCATGCACTTACGCTGAAAAAGTTGTAAGCTATAAAAGCACATAACAGATACTGGATTTTAGAGAAAAGATTTACCATGATTTGATCAGGACTATCTGTCATAGGGATAGGAGGGTGCAAAGTGATATCCATTCCATTCATTAGTAACTCACCAAAGTTACAATAATTTTACATTTATTTATGTGATCACTTGATTAATGTTAATCTTATTCTTTAGAATGTGGGGACTATGTCTCATTTTGCCCACCAAACCAAACAGCTAGCATATAAGTAAGTGTTCAAATAATATTTAATAAAAGAATGAAACAGGCTCTATCCCAGATCTCCTGGATCTGAATAACTAAGTGTTGGACCTAGGCACACACTGAAAACAAAATAGTGCCCATCTTTCTTATAAAGGTACTAACTACTTATTTGCTCAAGTGAAACAACTTAGAAACATTTCTAGAGCAGTTATTTCTAAAGAAACAATACCTGTTGAAAGGTACTGAGAATGAAATAAATAAATGTTAAGAGGGCAGAGACTAAAGCGATTGTTTGCAAAGAGATTCTACTTACTTAAATCTATGGTATCATTAATAATCAGGCAAGATTCTGGATCTGTTAACTAGCCTGTGAGTGATATTACCCTACAATAGCAGATTGGTACTTTGTATATTATTAATTCTCACAATAACCATATCTTTCCATTTTATTGATGAGGAAATTAAAACACGTGGCTTCATTATTCCAGTCACAAAGAAAATAAGTGAACCAGAATGTACTTAAGTGTTTGTCTTATATCCTTATCCAATACTATCACTAAACCATGAAGTATTTTCTGAAAGTTAATCAAAATGCCACTTATATGCCACATATAATGCTCCCTAACAGAAATGAACAATTTAGCTGTAACAAGTCATAACTTTCCAAAGCAAACATGTAAAGATTCCTGCAAGTCAGTCCTAAAGAATTTCTATACCATTTCCAAGGTATCTTGTAATACTAAAACAAATATGAAATATTAGAAATACTTATCACTTGAGTCAAATCATTAGGACACTTTTATCCATAACAAAACTATATTAGTATTTTGTAACATATATATAAAGTATTTCAAAAAGAAAATAAGAATCACATACAGGTTTTGATGAATTCACCAAAAGGACCCCCCATGAGGTAGAGATTCCCTTAGGAGCACATTATAAAACAAGGTACTTTAAAAGCAGAAGACAGTAATAATAGAAGAAAACTAGTAGGTTATCTTTAATTTCCCTCCCAATTGTTTTCTAAATACAAAAAGGGGTTCAATAAACAATGGTGTTCCCATTTCTTCCATAAAATGTACTGGATTTTAAGATTAGTTAATACTTAGTAATGATAAGATTATTAACAATTCCTCTGTCCTAATTATTCCTAAAATACGCAGATTCACCATATTCTAAGTAAAAATTCAAAAAATTACTTAATATAGACTTACCCAGGTTTCCTTGCTCGATTGTCAGCACCACCTCATCCATAACCACAGCCCTAAAGTCCAGTTCCTCCTCACAACATTTGGCCTTTAATGCTCGTAAGATTTCTTTTTGGGGATAGTCTTCCCTGATTCGACGATCTGTCAAAAACCACAACTTGGCAGCCACAGAGCTACACATCTTGATCTGCTTGTTCTTCCTTTTCCTGGATTATTTCCTCCTCAATGTAAACTCTTTCTAGACGGGAAAAAAAAAAATACACATACAAGGTAAATCAAGAAATCTACTTAATTTCTGGCTTTTACATAAATAAATGCTATGATTATATACTAACTATACAACAGGAAAAAACTAATGGAGTTATAGTATGACTGTTTCCCTTTAGTTCAAGTTAAAAATTTTTATAACACAAGAAATATGGGAACTGTCAACCTCCCCTGAAATAAGATTTCTCCATCTTCCACTAGGGAAGCTAGCACTGGAATTTTATAATTACAGCAGGTCACTTAGCAGAAACTTTCAATGCCATTCCCTCTATTATATATTGTCTAGGAATATACTCTAATCTGATCATCTCTTTTTGACTGATTTATCCCTCCCCCAAAATGCAAATCCCTTGATATGAAATAGATGAGACTGCAACTATCAACAATATATCCCCATATCTCTCCACCACTACAAACTCCAATTATGAATATTCATGTATCTGTAGCTAGTTTTTTATTCAATTTTCTTCCCCTGTTTTGTTATAAATGTTCATAATAAAATATACCTACACATAAGTATGTTAAAAAAAAAATGAGATAGTAGCACCTATATTTTACCAGATGAGCATCAGCACTGAAGTCATTTACACAGCAACTTTAATCAAAATAAATAATTTAAGAATGGGGGGAAAAAAACTTTAACCAAAAAAAAATGCCAAACCAAGTCCATTCACTAAAATTTGTTTATTTCAGTCAGAGGACAGCATGCTCTTACTCAGCGTTTTTATTCTTTCTTTAAATAGAATTTTTTTAAACAAACACAACTTGTTTACTAGAACACAAAAAAGGACTTTCCTCCACAAACAGAGTGCTGTTTCTCAAGTCTGTACTATGAGCAAGACAATAGCTGAAAACAGTTTTCCTAAGAAGCAAAAAGTCATAAGTTTTACTAACAAATTTGACAGGTGATTTCAACAAAAGATAAAATAACATTTATTTACAAAAATAAAATTTCTACTATTATTCCAGATGACACGGCAAATCTAGCACAGAAGGAAAGGACAAGGGCAAGGACAAGAGGAAGCAATGGCCATACAGATGGATGGCTTCCAGCATCACAGCAGCTGGAACCAGTCCCTTGTGCACCATTCACACGCTCTCCAGGATGTCAGCCAGAGGGCCTGCTCCACAGATGGACACAGCAAGACCAGAACATTGTGGGACAGAGGCACCACCACACACATATGTGCGTGGGCGTGCACCCCCGAACCTTAGCCTGCTGTGCCTGCCACACTCACCCACCTGCCCCACAACCCACAGTCTCAAAGGCATTAGTTACTGAAAAGCAGGGAAGGAAAAAAATAATGGAAAAAAATAATGTGGGAGATAATCAGGAGAGAGGGGCTTGTAGCTATGGAAGAGCGAGGGAGGGAGGAACTCTCAGCCATGGTGATGCATCAAGCAGAGACCTTAGTCACTAGCAAAGGGGATGCCTGATGCCTAGAGCCTCCTGGCCCTGTGCACCCTTGTTCCACAGCTGTGGTCGAGAGCGTGCTCACTCAAGCCCTAGGCTAGATACAGTAACAACTCAATTTACACACTAGGAAAATGGGACATGGCCTTACAGGGCCTTCCAGGCCACTAGGAAGGATGCCACTCAGAAGGAAAAGCTTCACAAAAGAAAAGTGACACCAAAGTACTTAATGTAGAGATCCCGTTTCCCCTCAGAAGGGAACTGTAAAAACGCCCTTCAAATGTTTATGTTGGGTAGCTTTTTAAACTCTCTTGTTGGAGTATGGCTCCAATACTCCAAAGCCATCTTGGTGCCTCCCCACCACTTAGTTCTTGATCATCTGTTCACCAGTATTACTGCACAAAACTGCATTGCATGAGTATAGCAGTGTGACCCCAGCAGAAATCAGGGTAGGATGTTACAGCCACTGGCAAATGGGAAGCAGGAATGTTTTGCAAATACTGATGTCAGCTCTCAGAAAATGCCCAGGCTGCAACAGTTACACAACATGGTGTTTTCAGTGATTCCATAATCAGACAATAAAAACACTCCAGGGTTGCAATCTCACAGTCGTGCAACTCCTGACAGATGATGCACGTGAGCATCTCCCTCTTGTCTGGCTTCACAGCAGCAACTCTGACATGATGTCCTCAAGTAAAGTCTGAGCATTTCTACACTGGTATGTGACCAAATGCAGGTTCAGATTAGGCTTCCTGTCTCCTTTCATTTTAACAGGCTGCAAATCCTCTTGATCCTGGGGTTCTAAGAAAGAAAATGATGTTCCCTCTCTGTCTGGGAGAGTTGAAGCAAAGCTAAAGATCTCATCATTTGCCACAACTGGACCACATCCTTTCAGGGGGAATGCCTGAATCCCCAGATCTGCACCTGGAGCAACACTCTCACCCTGAGGAGGACACTATGAAAAAAGGCAGAGGCTGTGTTGAAGAGGTCTGTCAATGGCTGCAGTTCCTCAAAGCCCACCCAAGTGGCAGGCAACATGGCAGGATCTGGGGGTCCTCACTTCACCCTACACTGAGCTATCTTTGGTCACGTGGAATACATTTTCTTTATCAAATTCAAAAGGATTCTTCTGTTATGCCTCGCTTTTCATGTAAAGATTCAGAGAGGTATGACACGTGTTCCAAGTCATTCTTCCTATACACCAAGTAGACGATATCCTCATTTCGTAAAGGGTGTGTCTGCTTCTTAACAACCTTCAGCTTGTTAATCCCTGTTCCACTGGTGCTGGTATCTTCAAGTGACACCTGCCCAGATATTTTATCCATTATAATTTTACAGTGATCTACAGAGACCAGTTTATTGCCAGGGAATGAAAGGGCACCACCTCTCCTCCACCCAATAATCTGCTCCTGTTTCCACAGAAGGACGAGCAGCTGGCTGTCCTTGGGGCCCTGATGCTGCTGGTAGCTGCTTGCCTTTTTCAAGCTGTTGCACTGGGGTTCACATCTAAACCTATACCCAGGAAAATGTCAGGTGGAAGACTCTCCTACCAGAAGAGCAGAGGCTCCATGTCCCACTCCCCCATCTCTACCCCACCTTCATGGCCCTCCTGGCCTGGGACGCCACTAGCGCCTTCCTGTGGGCCAGTGGAGACCAGCAGGTCAACACCTCCTCCAATGGCCACTTCTTTCTCTATTATTTTAAAACATCTGCTTTTCTATTTTTCCCATCCATTAACATGAGGGAAAAAGAAAAAACAAAAAAACTGGTAAGAAGTCAACAGCATAACAGTAAATCGACACAGTCCAGGAACCCAAAGTATAGGAAGAAAGTGACAGCCCTGAGTCTTAAAAGAAAGTTCAGGGGCCAGCTGGGTGGTACAGTGGCTAAGTCTGCACACTCTACTTCTGCAGCCAGGGTTCACGGGTTTAGATCCTAGGCGTGGACCTAGCACCACTCGTCAAGCCATGCTGTGGCTGCATCCCACATAAAACAGAGAAAGATGAGCACAGATTTTAGCTCAGCAACAATCCTCCTCAAGCAACATGAGGAAGACTGGCAATAGATGTTAGCTCAGGGCCAATCTTCCTCACACACACACACACACAGAAAGTTCAAATATTATTCACCATTTTAAAAGACAGAAAATAGTCCCCTGTGAATGGTTCCTTCCCCCCTCCCCCAATATTTAAAGGAATAGGTTTGGTTACCCAATAAGACATCTCTAAGAAAAGAGTTTATTCTTCAACAGTGTAAGATAAATACAGCATTTGCAAATGTCCACATATACATAAGAGTATATTTCTCCTTTCAGAATGTAAACTCAGATCCACTAATTCCCATTCTCTATTTCTTTATTTCCCCAGGAGTATTAATGAAAATAATGCATAAATATCAGATACCAAATAAATGCTAGCAACAAACTGCTAAATTAGCCTTTTTGAAATAAAGAGAAATTCAACAAAGAGAATTTACTTTTTATTAGAGATAGTTTTCCCATGCAGACTTCTAGATAGGCACACCAATGAAAAAAATGTGTCATCTTCAAATAGTCTAGGCAAGGCTAATTAAATGGGAATCATAAATAAAGTGCTTCATTCATTTTTCTCATGAGGCCTGGTTCCCAATAGTAATTATTCCAGTAGGGAAAAAGCAAAATCACAGTCTACCATCCGAAGATATTAAGGCGCCTCTTACTATTAGGAAAAGTATTTATTCCAGATAAGACATAGCATATGAACTCAGAATCAAAAGACTGAAAAAGAATAAAGTTGGAGAAGAAAAAAATATATACTAATTTACAAACTAGAATTTACTCCAGTAGACAATTACTACAGATGTGCTTTCAACAACATCATTTTGTCTTGGATGTGAAATATATGAGTTGGATCAAGTTTGTACAGAAAATAACAAATTTGTGTATCTTGAGTTGTAGGCATTCCTTCACAGTCTCCTTTTCTGTGATTCTTTTCTCCTGACAGCTCTCCTTCTGTACATAATCCCCAGGGCTTCATTCTTAAACCCTCTCTCCTTTTTCTAGAAATGTCATCCTCAGCTACTATCACTGAAACCAGAATATATCATTGACCCACTAAATATCTCTTTCCATCCAAGAGTTCTCAATCGAATTTCAGATCCTATTTCAATGTGCCTACTGGGCATCTCTAACTAAATGCCACCCACTACTGCCTCAGTTGAGCAAGTAAAAAATGAATTTTTATTTTCAAAATAAAAATGTAAAAAATGAATTTTTATTTTTATTCAACACCTGGATTTTCCCTTGTGATGGTTAAATTTTATGTGTCAGCTTGGCTAGGCAGCAGTGACCAACTGTTTGGTCAAATACCAGTCTGCATGTTGCTGTGAAGGTATTTTGTAGATATAATTAATATCTACAATAATTTGACTTTGGGTAAAGGAGATTACCCTCTACAATGAGGGTGGGCCTCATCCAATCAGTTGAAGAGCATATGCTAAAGAGCATAAACTGAGGTTTCCCAGAGAACTCTCCATCAAGATTATAACACAGAAATCCTGCCTGAGTTTCCAGCCTACTG